CATAGATCATAAGGGTATGTGAACAAACAAGACACGCACGCACGCACACGCACACACGCACACACATACACATACACACATACACACATACACACATACACACATACACACACACACACACACACACACACACACACACACACACACGGTTCTATGAATCATCTTTTTTATTCGTATATCAAATTCGAATATAATGAGCAAACACTCCTGCAATGCAATCTTTTCATAAATAGTATATTATTTGCATTAACCTAAATAAAAGTTTGTTTAGCCACGGTGGACGGGGGGGGGGGGTACGTAACAGCACAAGGTACTAAAGGGAACAACTGGCGAAAATGTTCGGACAACACTGCCCTAAATGACCCAAGACGAGCGAAATGTCTCACCGCAAAAAAGGAAACATTTTCAAACGTTTCTGCGATAAATTTCTTGGAATCTCAAAAAGCCTTAAATTTAGTGTTCGGAGATTCATCACGGAAAAAAAAAATCCGGTCTGTAATTAATAACACGGCTGTCAAATCACTGCACGCCATCGCACGGACAACCGAACACGACTGCGGTGGACATGGTATTTACCGTTTATTTACGCATTCTTTTGCCGTCCGCTGTGGAGTGATCCGAAAACGACTTTACAGATTAAAAATGGCCAATATTATCATATATGTCCTCCCATATCTCCCTTGAGCCCGTCCCTTACTGCTGCAAAATATCGTTTTTTGCGATACACACCATGAAAATTACGATACTTCTTTTTGCTTGGGCATTTCGCTTAACACGGAGCACTGCCATTTGGAGTTTACTTACCGCACTTCTAAAGAATATTACCATGGGCTATATCAACCGGCTTCACGTAATAACTAATTCTCTCTCTCTCTCTCTCTCTCTCTCTCTCTCTCTCTCTCTCTCTCTTCTCTCTCTCTCTCTCTCTCTCTCTTCTCTCTCTCTCTCTCTCTCTCTCTCTCTCTCCTCTCTCAACTAACCCCAAAACATTCACCACCGTGTTTATTTAACAACCTTAACAGCTATCACGAACATTAGTATCAGGTCAACTGTTTTACTGTGGCTTCCATTTCCTGTATAAGACTAGTCTCTGTTACGCATTAAACTTCGCATTACACACACAAAAAAATAAAAATAATGTAAATATATGATCACATGTGGCGGAAGTGTACTCATATGACTGAGATTTTAACCAAATGGCGGAATCTTTACTTAAATGGACTGTGGTGAAACTTACCTGTTACGCACATGGTAGCGTGTGTTTATTTAAAAGGAAGTCCATCGCTGCGATCGTGCATATTCGAAACAAAAAAACAAAAAAGTGTCCCGCGCATCTGGCATTACCTTGAAATTTGAAACTCCCGCGCGACAGTTATTCCCCCTGCTGGCCATCGCTTAAGAAATGACGATCGTTTTGCGCACTTATTTGTTTACAATTATTGATATCGAGTGGCGATTTTTTTAAATATTGAGATTTTTGTCTTACATACCTCATGACTTTGTTATTATTAAGTTGGAGATAAACCATAGAAGTTTCTTATTTTCGTTCATTCTGTTCGATAAATGTAAAATTTTCCTTCTAATTGAAGACTGTAGAACTAAAACTATTCCCTTAATATTGTCAAACGAACACCACCATTAAACGAACCCCAACGGAACGAGATAAAACGGAGGACTAACGGAACGCAAAAAAGAAAGAAAGAGAGAGAGAAAAAAAGAGATAAAACGGAGGACTAACGGAACGCAAAAAAGAAAAAAGAGAGAAAAAAAAAAAAAAAATAAATAACGGAACGCAACGGAGGAGGAACGCACGGAGACTAACGGAACGCAAAAAAGAAAAAAGAAGCGGAGGACTAACTAAAACGCAAAAAAAAAAAAAAAAAAAAAAAAAAAAAAAAAAAAAAAAAAAGTACGAAACCCACCAGACGAAGGAAGCCTCTACTCACACGAATCCCCGGCGGACGTGTTGAAGATGTCCGTGAGACTCTGGAGGCCTCGGTGCTTCAGCTCGTAGGCGAACACGAGACCCCCGGCCATGCTGTGAAGCCGAACCACTTCTCGATGCGGGATTCGGAACGCTTCGTCACCCAAGAGCTACGAGAGAAAAGGGTTATAACGACAAGATTTTTTTTTTTTTTTTTTTTTTTTTTTGTAAGCTACGAGAGAAAAAGGATTTTTTTTCGTAAGCTACGAGAGAAAAAGGATTTTTTTTGTAAGCTACGAGAGAAAAAGGATTTTTTTTCGTAAGCTACGAGAGAAAAAGGGTAAAACGAGGATAATTTTTTTTTTGGTTTGTTTTTTCGTCAGTTTGGCAAGATGGTTTTACTTTCGTTAAACTGGAAATGGAGATACGGTTGAATAAAGTTCAGTGAGACATCTGGCGAAGATATAGTTTGTGTATATTTTTTTCTATAGGAAATCTATCAAGAATGTAAAGCTATTTAAGGCAATGCTATATGATATACTACACACCACAATTTCCCAATATATTCACCAATACGTGAATATTGAGTATCACAATTATGACCAGAATAAAAAATAAAAAGAAATTGAAATGAAAACGAGAGATAGGCAACATAGACACATCCATTAAAAAGACAAGAATAAAAACTAAACAAAAGAAAATATAAAACCAAAAACGATACCCAGAGAGAGATAGGCCTACAAACCTTGGCAAAATCCCCAAAGTGTCCTCATTCACCTATACTGCGGCAGGTAGGCGCTGAAGGCCTGGCGAGCCAAGAGGACGGCGTTCTTCTCCTCCTGCACGTTCAGGATGACCGGACCCACCTCCGAGAACCTCTCCGTCAGCGCTTCTTCAGGAAGGGCGTCTCGAGTGTGGCTGATAAGGGGACGCGGAAACCAGGTCGAAGAAGTTAGGTTTGGTGTTAGTTTTTGTTTCCCTTTTTCGGGTGTTTTCGTAAGGCGTTGTGGTTAAATTTGTCGGATTTTGAGAAGAGGGGAAAGAGGGGTACGGAGGGAGGAGGGAGGGAGGGAGGGAGAGAGAGAGAGAGAGAGAAGAGAGAGAGAGAGAGAGAGAGAGAGAGAGAGAGAGAAGAGAGAGAGAGAGAGAGAGAGAGAAGAGAGAGAAGAGAGAGAGAGACAGAGAGAGACAGACAGAGAGAGAAAGAGGGAGAGAGGGAGCAGCCTGACAGAGACACAAGCGAGAAGCGAAAGAGTTGAGAATAAAGAGAAACCAATATGAAAATGAGACATAACTAGACACGAGATAACAAAAAAAAAAGAAAAAGAACCCAAACCAAACATAACAAAGAAAAGACCATCAGAACAAACACAAAAAATCAAGCAAAAAAAAAACAAAAAAAAAACATAAAAGAAAAGACCATCAGAACAAACACAAAAAACAAAAAAAAAAAAAAAAAAAAAAAAAAAAAAAACCTACCGAGGGCGGGCAAAGCTCCTTCTTGGTGGTTGACCCCCGATATAAGGCTGACCCTGTTAAAGCGGCCATCCCTCAAGAGCAAGGCGGGGTGGGCGGGCAAGAAGCTGCCATCCACGCGCGGTGTCATCACCTGGGGGGCGTTGAGCCATGTCTGCGAACACGTGCATTGTTTGTTGTTTGTTTGTAAGGTATGTGTTTGTTAGAGCGTGGATGTGCTTGTTTGAGTACGTGTCTGTGGAGGGGATGTAGGTATGTGGGAGTAAATGTGTGTATGGGGGTGTGTACGCGTGTGTGTGTGAGAAAAAGTGGTGTGTATGTGGGTGTGTACGTGTGAGATAAAGTGTGTATGTGTGTGTGTGAGAACATGTGTGTGTGAGAGAGAGAAAAAGTGTGCATGTGGGTGTGTGCGCGTGTGCGTGTGTGAGAAAAAGTGTGTATGTGGGTGTTTGCGTGTGCGTGTTTGAGAAAAAGTGTGTATGTGGGTGTGTACATGTGTGTGTGAGAGAGAGAAAAAGTGTGTATGGGTGTGTGTACGTGTGTGTGTGTGTGAGAAAAAGTGTGTATGTGGGTGTGTACATGTGTGTGCGTGTGTGAGAAAAAGTGTGTATGTGGGTGTGTGCGTGTGTGTGTGAGAGAGAAAAAGTGTGTATGTGGGTGTGTGTGCGTGTGTGAGAAAAAGTGTGTATGTGGGTGTGTGCGTGTGTGTGTGTGAGAAAAAGTGTGTATGTGGGTGTGTGCGTGTGCGTGTGTGAGAAAAAAGTGTGTATGTGGGTGTGTGCGTGTGTGAGAAAAGTGTGTATGTGGGTGGATGCGTGTGTATGGATGTGAGAAAAAAGGGTTTATGTTTGAGTGTGTCTGTATGTGAGAGAAAGTTTTGTGTGGGTGTTTGTGTGATTCTGTCTCTGTGTCTTTCCTTGTCCTCTGTGAGTCTCCCTCTACATGTAAGAACAATCACGGATAAAAGTCACATAGTATAGTATAAAACCCTATAAAAAGAAAGAGAAAAGGATAAGTCAAGTCGTGAATGAAGCTTCGAAACGCTCCGAATCTAAATAACAAGAGTCACCTCATTTGGGTGTCCGAAACCGAATTCGAAACAGATTTGACAGATTGTGCGAATTAGACGTTATCCAAATGACCTTATGTATGGTATCTTGACCCTTAATCTAACCCTTAAATTCCGGTTAGCACGTACTTGCACCTAAAATATATAGTCGTGTAGTTATAGAAATTGTATTAGTCTTGTTATTAGCAGCTGCTAAAGATAAGAGATATAATAATGATCATAAAATGCAACAAGGATTATGATAACAAAAAGTAGAGATGGTAACAGTAAGAATGATAATGAATGTGTTAATGGTGATATATATAACAATCATAATGAAAATGAAGATAATCATAATAATTAAGATAATCATAATGATTAAGATAATCATAATAAAAATGAAGATAAAAACAATTATAATAAAGAATATAAGATAAACAGCATATCATTGTAATAATGATAACAAGAACGGCAAATCATAGTAAAAATGCTGATAATAATTACGGCAAATAAGTAACGATAACCGGCAAATCATAATGACAATAAAAACAGTTAAATCTTCACCACAAAAACCGACGGGATGACGGCCAGCTGTTCAAAAGGCAGCTCCCGAAGACAGTCCAGGAGCGCAGTGCTGTTCAAATCAGCTGGTGAAGACGAGTCCACGCCCGCACACCCGAACGCCGCGCCCCCACCACAGCTGCATTCTTTCTGTGGTCGCACCTCAACGCCCACGGACTGAGGGCGTTGCCGGACTGGAGAATGACACGGCTGAACAGGCCTATGTGAACAGAACGAGGGGGGGGATGAGTGCACAATGGCGGGGCGATGTTCGGGTGAACAAAGGGAGGCATGTTCAGGATGAGACGAATATGATGTACAATTGTCAGGCGTGATGATTCGGTTGAACAAGGTTAGGGATGATGAACGAGAGGAAATAAGTGCACGATTGAGATACGAAATTCGGCTGAACAAGACTAGCTGTACAGAATGAGAGGAAATGTATGTACATTTGTAATATGCAAGGTTAGGTGTACAGAGTGAGAGGAAATGTACATTTGCATTACGGAATTTGGTTGAACAATCCCAAGGTACTGAACCAGAAAAAATAATGTACATATGCAATACGAAATTTGGTTGAACAATCCTAAGTGTACAGAACCAGAAAAAATGTACATTTGCAATACGAAATTCGATTGAACAATATACAGAATGTACAGAACCAGAAAATGTACAGAACCAGAAAAAAAATAAAAGTACATATGCAATACGAAATTTGGTTGAACAATCTTAATGCACAGAATTAATGCGCAGAACCAGGAAAAAATGTACATATGCAATACGAAATTCAGTTGAACAATCCTAAGTGTACAGAACCAGAAATAAAATAAATGTACATACGCAATACGAAATTCAGTTGAACAATCCTGTGTACAGAAAAAGAAAAAAAAAATACATTTGCAATACGAAATTCTATGGAACAATCCTAAGTGTACAGAACCAGATAAAAAATAATAAATGCACATATGCAATACGAAATTCAGTTGAACAATCCTAACTGAACAGAACGAAAAGAAATGACCGCACAACTGCAAAACAAAATTCGGTTGAACAATCCTAATGAACAGAACCAGATAAAAAATAATAAAAGTACATACGCAATACGAAATTCAGTTGAACAATCCTAACTGTACGAAAAGAAATGACCGCACAACTGCAAAACAAAATTCAGTTGAACAATCCTAACTGAACGAAAAGAAATGAAAAACATGCAAAAGAAACGATTTTTTCAAAAAAACATTTGCAAAACAAAATTCGCGAGGATCCCAACTACACACAACCAAAGGAACTCGACCCCGTTAAACTGACCAGCGGCCTGTGGACTGAGGACCTGCAGGTGCGCCGCCGCCGCCCCCGCCCCCTGCCCGAACAAGGTCACGCGGAAGGGGTCGCCGCCGAGGGCACGGATGTTCTCCTTGACCCAGCGGAGGGCCAGCGTCTGGTCCTTGAGGCCGAGGTTCCCTGGCAGCGCCTCGTCTTCCGTGGAGAGGAATCCTGCAGGAGGAGGAGGAGGAGGAGGTGGTGATGTGGATGGTGTTGATGGGAAGGATAATGGCAATAACAGCGATAATGGTATTTATGGTGATAATAATGGATGATAATAATGGTAATAACAGTGATAGTGGTATTTATGATGATAATAATGGTATTTATGATGATAATAATGGTAATAATAATGATAATGGTATTTATGATGATAATAAAGGTAATAATAATGATAATGGTATTTATGATGATAATAATGGTATTTATGATGATAATAATGGTAATAACAGTGATAATGGTATTTATGATGATGATAATGGTAATAACAGTGATAGTGGTATTTTATGATGATAATAATGGAATTTATGATGATAATAATAATAATGATAATGGTATTTAATGATAATAATGGTAATAATAATGATAATGGTATTTATGATGATAATAATGGTAATAATAATGATAATGTATTTATGATGATAATAATGGCAATAACAGCGATAATGGTATTTATGGTGATAATAATGGTAATAACAGTGATAATGGTATTTATGATGATAATAATGGTAATGACAGTGATAATGGTATTTATGATGATAATAATGGTATTTATGATGATAATAATGGATTTATTGAAATAATAATGGTATGATGATGATTTAATAATGGCAATAAATAATGGTATTTTGATGACAATAATGGTAATGATAATGATGGTAATGATGATATATAATGGTAATAATGATAATGTATTTATGATGATATAATGGTAATAATAATGATAATGGTATATTATGAATGATAATAATGGTAATATAATGATAATGGTATTTTATGATGATAATAATGGTAATAATAATGATAATGGTATTTATGATGATAATAATGGTATTTATGATGATAATAATGGTAATAATAATGATAATGGTATTTATGATGATAATAATGGTAATAATAATGATAAATGGTATTTATGAATGATAATAATGTAATAAATAATGATAATGGGTATTTATGATGATAATAATGGTAATAATAATGATAATGGTATTTTAATGTGATATAGGTAATAATAATGATAATGGTATTTTATGATGAAATAATGGTAATAATAATGATAATGGTATTTATGAATGGATAATAATGGTAATAATAATGATAATGGTATTTATGATGATAATAATTGTAATAATGGTATTTATGATGATTGGTAATAATAATGATAATGGTATTTATGATGATAATAATGGTAATAACAATGATAATGGTATTTATGATGATAATGAATGTATTTAATATAATAAATGGTATTTATGATAATAATGGTATTTATGATAATGAAATTAATGGTAATTAATTGGTAATAATATGATAATGGTGCGATGATGGTATTTGTGATGACAATAATGGTAATAATCAATGGCAATAACAGTGATAATGGTATTTGTGATGACAATAATGGTAATAATAATGATATGTATTTATGATGAATAATAATGGAAATAATAATGATAATGGTATTTATGATGATAATAATGGTATTAATGATGATATATAATGGTAATAATAATGATATTGGTATTTATGATGATAAATAATGGTATTTATGATTATAATAATGGTAATAATAATGATAATGGTATTTATGATGACAATGTAATAATAATAATATAATGGTGTTTATGATATAAAATGATACAATTGTAATAATGGTATTATATGATGACAATAATGATGATAATTATAATAAAGATATTTTATGATAATTTAATAATGGTATTTATGATGACAATAATGATAATAATTATAATAATGATATTTATTTATGATAATTGCAATAATGGTATTTATGATGACAATAATGATAATAATTATGATAAAGATATTTATGATAATTGTAATAATGGTATTTATAATGATTATGATTTTAATAATGGTAATAATTATTGTGAAGTAATTGTAATAATGAATGGTTAATCGGTGATTGCAAAATTTGATAATGGTCAGAATTATTGTTGATGATAATTGTCATAAAGATAAAAAAAAATTTTATTGATAATAATGATAACTTTTAAATCTTTATGTTATATGACTTTCACTATATCCAGCCACGTGTTACATTACGTTATAATTCCGACCATAAGTTATATAATCACGCTCTATATTACTCTATAGAGAATTTTCCAGATTAACAAAAGTTATTACTTAACAGCCAACTAACAACCACAACTACAGTGACGAGCGAAGCGGGGCCCGGAGGCCGAGCCACGACTTGACCTGACCTAAGGTGCCCAGGCGGTACTGCGGGACGACCAACACGACGTCCCTCTTGAGCAGGGGCATGGGGGGGTACTGCTCCTCTGACCCCCCCACGAGGAAGCCCCCCCCGTGGAGCCACACCATCACGGGCATGTCGGAGGGAATACCTTGGGGGTGGGGGGAGGGGGAGGGGGAAGGGGGTTATTTTGGTTGGTTGGGGTATGGGTATCGTGGAAAAGATAGGGTTGATTTATATATGGGTGGTGGGCGGGTGTGTTTCTGTGTGGTGTGTGTGTGTGTGTGTGTGTGTGTGTGTGTGTTGTGTGTGTAATGCAGTCTAATAAATCACATTCTTGATAAAGTCTTAAAGGTATCCAAACGCAAAAAAACATTTTTCCCATCAGTTGCACTTGTCTGCAAATTTTTTTTTAAAATCACCGCTTCTAGAAACAAATTAAGATAAGGTATAAAGCCCAAATGAGAAAAAAAACATAGAAGACTGAGAATTGTTTAAAATATCAATATATGGAGAAACACACCGAGCATAACAAAAAAAGAAATAAGTGAAAGAAACTGAAAACAATGTTTTTTTTTTGTTTTTTGTTTTTTTTAGTGTTCCTGACCTCTTTGCCTTTTTGTGGGAGGTCCATGTTGCAAAAATTGTCGTCATTGCAATGGTAATTATACGATGGGTTGTTGCATCCGTAGATTTTCATTATTTTTTTAAAACCTGCGTCATTAGTAGTTTGTCCAGTCTCAGGAAAGACCTAATGAACCGAAACTTAGCAGATATATATTAGATTGTATTTTGTATTTTTTACTTTATATGTTCTTTATTGCGTTTTATTTATTTTTTTTATATGTTCTTTATTGTGTTTTACTGATTTTTTGCCTTCAAACTTCATTATTTATTCTCAACCAGAGTGCTCCAGAGTTTGAGGTGAGTTGCCAGTTTCTCCTTTTCCAAGACTGGACGGAGCAGACTGCCATACCCGTGGTACCTGATTTGGGAACTACTGTGTCATATATCGAACGAGGATATAATTGGGATCGGGAACTACTGTGTCGCGTTTTGAACAAGAATATAATTGGGATTGGGAACAACTGTTACATTTTGAACAAGGGGAATATAATTAGCAACGACAATAAGGATGACAATGATCAACATAATTAGAACCATACTAATAGCAGCAACAACGGCAAGACCGTAATAATAATCATGGTAACAGTCACATCGATAACAACGATCATGACAACACTAATGACGATAATGACAATAACAGTAACGACAACAAAAAACAGTAACACAGACATACCCTAGACGTGTAGACACTGAGGTAGAGGCAGTCCTCCTCGCCGGCCACAGCTGTTTCCCCGTCGACCGCTGTCAGCTGAGGACACAGGGGGGGCGCCGTCGACCCGTCCCTCACTCCCGCCCACGCCTCCGCCGCGACGGGGTCCTGCGGCCGAAGGAAGTGTCGGGGTGAACAGAGTGTGTCGGTAAGGCGGTCGTGACATCGGGTGATGGTGGTCATTTTTAGAATCATGTTGTTCGTAAAAATTTAAAAATGTAGAATTTGTGCATGTATGCCGACGTAATATGTACAGAAAAATGCCTTTTGGAAATCATACTAAACATTCTGACACAAGCAACAATACTTCTTGAAATATAGTTGTCAATGCTGGGAACCTGTCGGCATCCCTCCAACCGACCTGGAACCTGAGCTCCCCCACCGGAGGCTGGGCATAAGGGATGCCCCTGAAGGCGTAGAAGGACCTCCCGCCGGCCTCCTCCCTCGCGCCGGAGATACGCCCCTGGATGAGCTGCACCTCCGCCGCCTCGCTCTGCGCCAGCACACGCCCGCGCCACAGCAGCACGGCCGCCCACAACAGCATGGTCTTGGGGATGGCAGCCATAGCGCTCTTTTGCCTGGCTCTTGGGGGGAAGTGGTAGGCTCGCCTGTAAATGCATGCACATGCGTCTGAATAAGTATGTATATATATATATATATAAATATATATATATATATATATATATATATATATATGTGTGTGTGTGTGTGTGTGTGTGTTGTGTGTGTGTGTGTGTGTGTGTGTGTATATATATATATATATATTATATATATATATATATATATATATATATTATATATATGTATATGTATATGTATTATGTATATATATTTATATATATGTGTGTGTGTGTGTGTTGTGTTTGTGTGTATATGTGTATGTATGTGTGTATATACATGTATATATTATTAATATATATATATATATATATATATATATATATATGTATATATATATATATATATATATATATATATATATATATATATATATATATATGTATGTATGTATGTATACGGCTCAATGTCCAAATTTAAGTCAGACAGGAATATTTTAATGGAATTAAAAGAAAGATCACGTAGTTCAAGTGTGGCAGATTACTCCAGAATTCTACGAGTAATGTGGTCATCTTCATATTCCTAATGTGCAATTCAAGTGTCAGTTTTGATTCAAAGGATACTCCAGGCTTCAGATTATCCACTGAAGTGATTAAGACTCCATTAATCAGCAGACTTGGATGCTGAGGCAACTGCGTTCGAGACTCACAATCATCTCCTTGGACTTGTTAGGACTTAGTTTCATGTCCCAACGAGAGCACCACGAATGAGTTGTCAACAGGTCTACAATGAGGCTGTTAGCTACTTTTTGCCTGGTTGCCTGAGAACTAATGTCAGCATAAAGAGGAGTATCGTCAGCATATCCCAACATCTTTTTAGAATGCCAGACCACATATAGTTTGCATATAGAATGAAGAGCAAAGGACCAAGATCACTACCCTGAGGAACCCCGGAAGACACACGGGAATGCGAGCTGAAACTGCCATCAACATGAACACGCAGCTGCCTACCAGTTAAAAATTCAGTTGAATTATCTAAAATCTTACCACCACCAACAGACTGCAGCTGAAAACTCACACACTTGTGATTAACAGAGTCAAAAACTGCACTAAAATCTAGAGAGACAAACCTTGACTCAGGACCTTTTTCTGAAGCTAACTGCATTTCATGAACCAACATAAACAATGCATCATTACAGCCGAGTCTCTGGAAGAAACGGCCTCAAATAGACAAAAAGACGTTCAAAACCCTTATATAAAATTGGTATAATTGAAATGGGCCTGTATTCAGTAGGTGAAGGCTGCAGTGGGCCCTTGTGAATAGAGGTAACGTTACCCAAGCGGCAGCACCCTGAAAATGACCCTTTACGAACTAAACCGCCTAAATTTACGGCTAATTCTGGAGCTAATTGGCCATTTAGTCCTTTTAAAATAAAAGGAAACAAGCCATTAGCGTCTACTCCACCATATTCGTCTAATTCTAATAACAGATATTAGATTTCAAAGGACCTGAAAGCAGATAAATGAAAGGACATGATAGAGAGAGGAAATTCAACATTTTAATTTTGGATTAAAACATTCTGCTAACAAGGTATATTTATCAATCGGACTATATGTGACACTACCATCAGGCTTCATTAAAGGAGGAATGGAGGACTCAACACCAAACAGAGGTGTTTTAAGTGTTGACCGCCATTTATGAGGCTGTGACGCTTCTGAGAAAACTCCTTTCAAACGAGCATTATATTCAGATTTAGCAAGGTCGAGTACGGTTAGCAGACCAGAGATTGTAGGCAGCATGTTGTCCATTTTAGCCTGGTGACATCGTTCATTATACCATGCTTTATCATGTGAACAAAATTGAAGAGTTTTGCAAGGTACAAACCTCGTTATGATGTCCAACAATAACAATTTTAGAGCTTTAACAGGACAAGCAACATTATTCACATATTGCCAAACAATGCTATCAAAAGCATGGTAGACATCATCCCAATCAATTCTAGACTTTAAGAAGACCTGCCTAGTTAGAATAAATTCTAGTATAGGGAAGTCTAGTTGGATCATACAAGCTAGACTACAGTGATCAGAAGAACCTATTGGTAGGATGGATTCTACATTAAATACCCTTCTCACATCAGTTAATACAAGATCCAAATGATTACCAATCCTCTGAGTTGCACCACGGACTAACTGATCACACCTAACTTACATCCGCGAAGTCTAAGGCAGAAATGAAATGTCTGTCAGTTGGGGACAGAATTCATCCAGTCTCGGTGGTGAGCATTAAAATCACCTATGAATATAAAGCATGATTTCCTAACATCCTCTTGAATAGAAAAGTACGGTCAGTAAACAATCATAAGTGCCGGTATCGGAGTTGGGATTTATATAGACTAAAAACGTAGTTATTAAAATGGCCAAACTCTCACAACCATCAATTCATTACAACAGCATTCATACTTCGTAAAACAACTAGCATTAAAACGAACCCTGGAATATAAACACAATCCTTGGTCTGAG